ACACCACCGTGTTCCCTTTGGCGAAGAAGTCCGACGTGAATTCTACGCTGATCCGGTGGCTGCTCGCCACCGAGAGTACTCGTCGTCGTCGTGTCAGTTGTCTCCACTCCGACCGTGGGGGTGAGTTTCGCTCCGGCATTCTCGCCAGATTCTGTGCTGAGCAGGGCATCACCCAGTCCTGGACTCTTCCAGACTCTCCACATCAGAATGGGGTTGCTGAGCGCCGGCTAGGCCTGGTCATGGAGATTGCCTGCACCTCCATGATCCACGCCCGCGCGCCCCATTTTCTGTGGCCCTACGCGGCTCGGTACGCCGCTCACCAGCTGAACCTCTGGCCTCGCGTCTCTCGGCCAGGGGCTTCACCGACCAGTCTTTGGACAGGGTCCCCTGGTGTTGCGTCGAGGTTTAGTGTCTGGGGCTGCTTGGCACTTGTCCGCGACACCTCTGCGGACAAGCTCTCACCTCGCGGCGTCCCCTGTGTCTTCCTTGGTTTCCCTGAGGCCTCCTCTGACTTCACCTTTTACCACCCTCCCTCCCACCGGTTCTTTGACTCTCGTGATGTCAGTTTCAACGAGTCCGTCCCCCACTTCGTCCGGTACCCCTGTCGAGGTCTCCCGGTTCCCCCCCCTCCCCTCTTCCTCGCCCCAGCTCCTCCTCCTCCCGCTCCCTCTCCTCCGGTACCCCCCCCTGTTCCCGCTCCGTCAGGTGTGTCGCAGGCTACCCCCCCTCCCTTGGTCCCCCCCCAGGTCTCTCCCCCTTCCCCACAGTCGTCCTCACAGCCTCCGCAGCAGCCGTCGGCGCTTCCTCTCCCGGCCACTGCGGACTCTGAGGGTGTTGGTGCTCGAGGTGAGGGCTCTGGCGGTGCTGGTTCTGGGGGTGTTGGAGTTGGAGCTGAGCGTGCACCTGCCGCAGCTGCACGTCCCGAGCGTGTTGGAGTCGGTGGTGGTGCTGGAGCTGGTGGTGTTTCTGGAGCTGGAGAGTCTGGGGCTGGTGCTGGTGCCACTGGCGGCGCCACGACTGGGGGTGCGGGTACACCTCCTACAGGTACTGGTCGTGCTGCCGCAGGGAGTCCTCAATCTGGGGGTGCTCAGCCGGGTCCTGTCGAGGGTGGAGCCGGTTCTTCTTCGTCGTCTCCTGACACCACTCCTCCTCCTCACCCCTACGCGACTCGTTACCAGGCCCTTCGTCGTCTAGAGCGTGAAGAGCAGCAACGTTTGGAGCGTGAGAGGTCGGAGGTTCAGCAGCGGGTGGAGCGTGAGCGGTTGGAGTTTCAGCAGCAGCAGCAGCAGCACCAGCAGCAGCAGCCGCAGCCACAGCCACAGCAGCAGCAGCAGCAGCAGCCGCCGCAGCTGCCGGAGCAGCCTCCGGCCCCTGTTTCAGGCCTTCGGGCCCTTGATCTCCCCTCCTCTCCTCCTGTGTTCGGTCCCACGTTTCCTCCTCCGGACTCCACTCCGGCTGTCTTCCCTCGTTCTCAGTCTCCTCCGTCCCCCCCTCCTCTCGCCCACACTTGGGCCTCTCGCCCTCCTCGTGCTCGTCCCTCGTCCCCTGTCACTGACCTCCGTACTGTGTTGTTTCGTCCTCGTCCTCCTCGTTCTCCTCCGTCTGTCCTTCCTCGTCCTCCTGAGTCTTCCCTCACTGCCTCCCTGTCCACTCCGGTCACTGACTACTACCGCACGTACCGCCACACTCTCTCTCGTGTTCTCGCCTCTCTTGTTACAGACCCTCGTGCCTCTCCTTCCTCCGTTGCGGTCCTCACTGCCGCTGTCACTGACTTTACTGCTACGCGTCGCCTTGACTACACCACTCGAGTTGTGGCAGCTCCTCCTGTCCGTCCTCTGTCCGCCGGGGGTGTGTGTGCCCTTGGCTGTGACGTCCTAGAGGACAGACAGTTTGAGCTAGAGTTCCTGGCAGCTGCTTCGCCTCATCTCTGTGCCATGCTGCTCACTCCTGAGGGAGACCCCGACGCTCCTGACATACCTACTCCTCGCACTTACGCTGAGGCAGTGTCAGGGCCTTGGGCCTCTCAGTGGAGAGCTGCCATGGACGCAGAGATGGCCTCCTACAGGTCCACAGGCACTTACGTTGACGAGGTTCCCCCCCCAGGGGCGAACATTGTTGACGGCATGTGGATCTTCAAGGTGAAGCGGCCGCCGGGATCTCCCCCAGTCTTCAAGGCACGCTACGTGGCTAGAGGGTTCAGTCAGCGCGAGGGGGTTGACTTCTTTCAGACCTTCGCGCCCACCCCGAAGATGACCACTCTTCGGGTGTTACTGCACGTAGCAGCGCAGAGAGACTACGAGCTACACTCTCTTGACTTCTCCAGTGCCTTCCTCCAGGGCTGCTTACACGAGGAGATCTGGCTGCGTCGTCCTCCGGGCTTCACTGGCACTTTCCCGCCTGGGACCCAGTGGAGCCTCAGACGACCGGTCTACGGTCTCCGCCAGGCACCCCGTGAGTGGCACGACACTCTCCGCTCTACTCTCTCCGACCTCGGGTTTGAGCCGTCTTCCGCCGACCCGTCGCTGTTTGTTCGTCGTGGCCGTACACCTTTCTTCGTCCTAGTCTACATTGACGAATTGTTTTTTGCCACGGCCGACACAGCTGCACTGGCGGAGGTGAAGTCCGAACTGCAGAAGAGACACACCTGCACTGACCTTGGGGAACTGCGCCGCTACCTTGGCCTGCAGATCTCCAGGGACAGAGCCGCTCGCACCATCACTCTCACTCAGTCACACATGGTGCAGCAGGTTCTTCAGCGGTTCGGGCTTCAGGACTCTTCTCCTGCCCCCACTCCTCTTGCTGTAGACCACAGACTCACTGGGCCTTTTCCTGACGAGCCGTTCGAGCCCAGTGGTCCCTACGCAGAGCTGGTGGGCTGCCTCATGTACCTGATGACGTGCACTCGCCCGGACCTCGCCTTCCCCCTTAGCATCCTGTCTCGCTTTGTTGCGTCTGGGAGACACCGTCCTGTTCACTGGGCGGCGGCTAAGAGGGTGGCGAAGTACCTTGGCGTGACATCAGGCATAGGGCTTGTACTTGGAGGGACACAGCGAGTTGTACTCACCGGTCACTGTGACTCTTCCTACGCTGACGACGTTGAGACTCAGAGGTCTACGCAGGGTTACTGTTTCAGCCTGGGTTCTGGAGCTGTTTCGTGGAGGTCTACTCGGTCCTCCTCTGTTGCGACTTCTACCGCAGAGGCCGAGATCTACGCTGATGCCCTTGCTGCTCAGGAGCTACGCTGGTTGACCTTTTTGCTCACTGACCTTGGTGAGCGGCCGAGCTCTGCACCGACCCTGTTTGCTGACAACAGGGCAATGATTCTCCTGTGTCATGAGCCTCGACTGGAGAGCCGAGTGAAGCACATCGACGTCAGGTACTTCCTCCTTCGAGAGTTGCAGAGACGCGGACAGGCTCGTCTGGACTTTGTGGCCTCCGAGGCCAACACTGCAGACATCTTCACCAAGGCCCTCCAGCCTTGTGACCACCGTCGGTTTTGTCTGCTGTTCGGCCTCGTTGAGACTGGGTCTAGTTGACTGCTGTAGGGTGCTCTTTGTCTGTTGCTTGCTTGTACCTTATATATATATTTGTTTGCACACTTTTGGACTGGCCTTGTGTCCCTTTGCTTGTGCTCAGATTAGGTGGTGACGTTGTGATCCACCCTGAGCTTTGTTTTCTTTCTCTTGTTTTTGACTGGTCTTGTGACCGTAGGTTGCTTGTTGTTGATTGGCCTTCCCCACTTAGGCTATGGGGGTGTGTCAAATATTATAGCCTGTAGTGGGTTGGGCTATATGGGGTACAACTAGTTATGGTTAGGTGATGTACCCCAATCCTGTCAACACAACGCATTCCGCTGTAGTTCTCATTCTGACATATATGTGGTACACAATTCTAAGGTTGCATACTTGTATCACTTTCATTCCTTAGTCATTCATTCTAGTTTCTTCTCATGGTATCGAGCAGGTTCCCTAACGGGAACGATTCCTAGGGCCCACCACTACGAATTTTTTTTTTCCTGCCTGGAGCGCGCTCCGCTTAGGCCCGAGTCGCGCCTCGTGTGCTTTCCTTACCGTCGCGCCCTCGCTAGGACCCTCACGGCCCCGTCGCGTCGCCCTTAGCGGCCCCTCGCGGCCTCGTCGCGCTGCCCTAGCGGTCGCGTCGCGCCGCCCTAACGGCCGCGTCGCGCCGCCCTAGCCGCCCTCACGGCCCCCTAGCGGCCTCTTGCGGCCCCGATCCGCCGCCCTTGCGGCCCCGATCCGCCGCCCTTCGCGGCCCGTCGCCGCTCTCTCCCTGCGGCCCCTCGCCCCCCTTTCACCAGCGGCCCCGTCGCCGCCCTTGCACGGCCCTGACGCCGCCCTCTTCAGCGGCCCGTCGCCGTCCTTCTCAGCGGCACCGCCATCTCCTTTCAACGGCCCCGCCACTACCCCTGCAGCGGCCTCGTCGCCGCCCTTTCAGCGGCCCCGCCGCCTCCTTTAAGCGGCCCCGCCGCCTCCTTTAAGCGGCCCCGCCGCCTCCTCTCGGCGGCCCCGCCGCCTCCTCTTGGCGGCCCAGCCGCCTCCTCTCAGCGGCCCCGGACGCCGCCCTCTCAGCGGCCCTTCCGCCGCCTCCTTTGCGGCCCCGCCGAGCTGCCCAGCAGCAGAGCCACTGAGCCGCCCAGCAGCCGAGCCGCCCAGCCGCCCAGCCGCCGAGCCGCCCAGCCGCAGAGCCACCCTGCAGCCGAGCCGCCGAGCCGCCCAGCAGCCGAGCCGCCGAGCCGCCCAGCAACCGAGGCGCCGAGCCGCCCAGCAGCCGAGCCGCCGAGCCGCCCAGCAGCCGAGCCGCCGAGCCGCCCAGCTGCCGAGCCGCCTACCGCCCAGCTGCCGAGCCGCCTACCGCCCAACTGCCGAGCCGCCGAGTTGCCCTGCAGCCGAGCCGCCCGAGCCGCCCTGTCTGGTAAGAGCAGCGTCTCTGTCACTGCACTGCCCTCACCCTACTATTCGCGTTGCTAGTCTACTGCTGTCATGGCTACCTCTAGTGTCCTCGCTTTTGACGCTGAGGGTCGGGCCATTGACTTTGACGTCTGGATAGATGACCTGCAGCTTTTCTTACAGTGCGATAGGGCGGACGATCTCTCTCTCTTTGACCTCACCTCTGGTGCCTCCCCTGCCCCTGCTGCTGATGCTGACGCCACTGTTCGCTCAGAGTGGGCCACGCGCGATGCTGCTGCACGTCTTGCTGTGCGTCGCCACCTGCCTACCTCTGAGCGTGCGCACTTTAGTCAGTACAAGAGTGCTCAGACCTTGTACGACGCTGTAGTTGCACGCTACTCCTCCCCTGCCACTGCTGCACTGAGCCGCCTCATGCTACTGTACCTCTTCCCTGACCTTGCTGCCTTTCCCACAGTCGCTGACCTCATTACGCACCTCCGCACTAGTGACACTCGCTACCGCGCTGCGCTTCCTGCTGAGTTCTGCGCCAAGAACCCCCCCCCCCCCCATGTACATCACTCTCTACTACATAGTCACCCGCCTCCGTGACTCCCTTCGCGTAGTCAGGGACCACTTTCTCTCTGTCATTCCCACCACTCTAACTGTTGACCTCCTTGAGAAGGCCCTCCTAGCAGCTGAGAAGAGCATAGTCGCTGTAGGAGCCTCTCGTGGTGACCTGCGCACCCCCATCTTTGAGGGGTGTTCCCCCTCCCCCCTTTTGCCCTCTGTTGCCTCTGCTGCTGCGGCCGAACTCGTTGGTCTTGAATCGGTCGGTGCGGCGTCTACCCCTAGTGGGAGACGCCGCCCTGGCAAGGGCAAGGGGGGCAGGGGCGCTGGAGGAGCTAGCAGGGGCGGTGGAGGCGGCGGAGGGAGTGGGGGTGGCGGTGGGGGTGGTGGCGGAGGTGGAGGTGTCGGTGGCGGCAGTGGAGGCAGTGGAGGTGCAAGCCAAGGTAGCTGCGCAGTTCACCTAGGTCCGTGCACGTGTGTCTCTTGTGTAGCTCGGACTTCACGTGGGCAAGTCCAGCAGTGTCAGCAGTGGCAAAGACCAAGTCGTCGACGTACACGAGGATGTAGAACGGCGGCAAAGAGGTGTCGGTGCGCAGAAACATCGACGGGTCGGCTGTAGAAGGAGCAAACCCAAGAGCCGCAAGTGTAGTCCTCAGTGTGTCGTGCCACTCACGGGGTGCCTGGCGGAGACCGTAGACTGGCCGCCGGAGGCTCCACTGGGTACCAGGAGGAAACGACCTAGTGAAGCCAGGTGGGCGGCGCAGCCAGATCTCCTCGTGCAGGCTGCCCTACAGGAGAGCTGTGCTGAAGTCAAGTGAGTGAAGCTCGTAGTCGCGCTGAGCGGCTATGTGCAGCAACATCCGAAGAGTGGTCATCTTCGGGGTGGGAGAGAAGGTCTGAAAGTAGTCAACTCCCTGCCGCTGACTGAAGCCACGAGCCACGTACCGCGCCTTGAAGACAGGCGGGGAACCCGGCGGCCGCTTCACCCTGAAAATCCACATGCCACTGACGATGTTCGCCCCAGGTGGGGGAACCTCGTCAACGTAGGTGCCTGTGGACTTCCAGGAAGCCATCTCAACGTCCATAGCTGCCTGCCACTGAGAGGAGTAGGGACCCTCTATCGCCTCCGCGTAAGAGCGCGGAGTCGGGATGTCAAGTGCATCCGGGTCTCCCTCAGGGGTAAGCAGTACGGACACGAGATGAGGTGAAGCAGCAGCAAGACACTGGAACTCTTCCTGCCTGTCCTAAAGGACGTCCGTGCTAAGGGCATACTCACCCCCGACGGACGGAGGACAGACCGACTCAGACTCAGCGACAAGACTAGCAGCGTAGTCTAGACGACAGCGAGCAGCAAAGTCGACGAGCTCAGCAACTAGGGCAGACGCAGCAGTGGACTCAAAAGAAGGGTTAGTGACGACAGTAGCAAGGAGACGCGTGACAGTAGGACTGGCAACACGAAGAGAGTCCGACTCAGGGTTGGCAAGAGCAGGAAGAGAGGACTCACGAGGAGAAGGCAACGGGGCACGCAGAGGAGCAGTGGACGGACGCAGAGACATCCGGTGCGTGCCAGGGACAGGAGGAGGACGCTCACGCGAACCACGACCACTAGAGATAGGCGACGCAGATAGGCGACGCAGGGCGAGACGCAGGCTCACGACGCTCAGCAAGACCTCTAGTAGGACAAGTGTAGGGAGAAGGAGCAGGCAGTGGGGAGGCCGGCTGTAACTGTAACTGTGACGGGACAGGCTGTGGACACTCTAAGGGAGGAGGACCAGTAGAAGGCGGGAGACCAAGAACCTGCTGAAGGAGCGGAACGAAGTACGGCCGAGGCCGCGCGGCGACTCCAGACACAGCAGGGACAGCACCAGCACCCCCAGCGGCAGCACCAGTGCTAGCAGCACCTCCAGCTCCAGTAACTCCAGTAGCACCGCCACCAGGACCGACAGCAGTAGCCTCAGCGTCAACACCCTCAGCAGCTCCGGCTCCAGACGCACCCGCCGGCCCATCAGGGTAATGGTGCGGCTCTAGACGCACCCCCTTGCAGCACCCTCTTCCTCACCCGGGACAGAGCACGCCGCACCATTACCCTGACTCAGTCACACATGGTGCAGCAGGTCCTTCAGCGCTTCGGCTTCACGTACTCCTCGCCTCAGGCCACTCCTCTGCCTACTCGCCACTCGCTCTCAGCTCTGCCTTCGGATGAGTCCGTAGAGTCGAGTGGCACGTACCCAGAGCTTGTTGGCTGCCTCATGTACCTGATGACCTGCACTCGACCTGACCTTGCATACCCTCTTAGCATTCTCGCACGCTATGTTGCTCCTGGGAGACACAGACCGGAGCACATGGCAGCAGCGAAGAGGGTGTTGCGCTACTTGTGCAGTACGTCGGGCATGGGGCTTGTGCTTGGAGGGCGGAGTCCAGTGGTCCTCACTGGGCACGCAGACGCTTCTTGGGCGGACGACCAGGCTACGCAGCGGTCGTCACAGGGTTACACCTTCAGCCTTGGTTCCGGCTCTGTTTCGTGGTGGGCTACCCGCTCGTCTTCTGTTCTCGGCTCCAGTTGTGAGGCTGAGATCTACGCCGGGGCCATGGCTGCACAGGAGCTTCGCTGGCTCACCTACCTGCTGACTGACCTTGGCGAGGTGCCTCGTTCTCCTCCAGTGCTGTACGTAGATAAGAAGGCCATGCTGGCCTTGTGTCGAGAGCAGAGACTGGAGCACAGAACGAAGCACATTGCTCTTCGCTACTTCCTTGCTCGTGAGCTGCAGCAGCGTGGTCAGCTGCGTCTTGTGTACGTGGCCTCTGAGGCCAACACTGCTGATATCTTCAGCAAGGCACTTGCGCCTTGTGATCATCAGCACTTCTGTACTCAGCTTGGTCTTGTGCCTGCCTTGCCTCACTTGCTCTCCTCTTGACCTTGCATGTACTGTTACATATATATACCCCTGCTCTTGCTTGTCTAGCCTTCTATATATATATGTACTCCTGCATGTGAACTGGCCCTGTGGCCTTGAACTTGTGCTCGGAATGTGTGGTGACTTTGTGATCCACCCTGACCTTGCGTTGCTTTGCTTGACTGGTCTTGTGACCCCTTGTTCTCCCCCACTTTGCCTATGGGGGTGTGTCAAATTATAATGTTGTGTAGGCTGTAGTGGGGTAGCCTATATGGGGTACACAATTCTAGGGTTGCATACTTGTATCACTTTCATTCCTTAGTCATTCGTTCTCGTTTCTTCTCAAGATGAACATAATGAAATATGATATATTATGTAAGAAGATTAATGATAGATATATGATTATGTTCATTTCATATAAATAATGATTATTAGGGACAATCCATGATGCATACTAATATTCATAATGGTTGAATGCATGAATGCTAACGACCCATAAACTATGCTACTCCATCCCTTGCCTAGCATGGGGGGGAGCTGATACCGTATTCTCCCGGATAAAACACCCCCCCGTAATTGTACACCTTTGGGTAGCTAATACGGGGTGGATGTTATATCCGACCCCGTTAGTACTATACCCCCCCCCTTTTGGGGTGAATCTCTATAACAACCCCCTTTTCTGATAGATTCCTATTATAGCTATTATCGAGTCCGATTTCTTACGGGAGGATATCGCGAATTTCGCCCCCTAGAAGAAATTTCGCTTGTACTTTCACTTAGAATCTGCCGAGATTTCCCCCCTCCCACAATCTCGCTGTCGCCACGCTTGCGAATCTTTCAATGCAAGTGGTCTAAGAGGTGAAGTGGCCCAAGTGGCCCACGATATCCTTGTACTCGGTTTTGCGGCATTGATCAGCAATCTTGAAGTGAAGTCAGACCCCTGAATATGTTTCACATCTTTTCTGCTTGATAAAAAATATACCATATCATAAGACCCGGGTATTATGTAGGATTTTCCTTTGAGGAGACTGTGAACAAGTGAACGAGGGAATGAATGACTATGAAGTGAAGTGAATACAAATAGGAAACCCTAATGTGTTGTACCCCCTATGGGATACCCCACTATAGCCTACACAAACAAGTAAGCTATATGTTCTGACACACCCCCATAGGCAAAGTGGGGGAGAACAAGGGGTCACAAGACCAGTCAAGCAAAGCAAAGCAAAGCTCAGGGTGGATCACAAAGTCACCACGCATTCCGAGCACAAGTTCAAAGGCCACAAGGTTAGTTCACATGCAAGATCATATATAGAGATATACAAGAGCAAGAGTATATATATGTGAAGGTACAAGCAAGGTCAAGAGGAGAGCAAGTGAGGCAAGACAGGCACAAGACCCAACTGCGTGCAGCAACGCTGATGATCACAAGGCGCAAGTGCCTTGGTGAAGACATCAGCAGTGTTGGCCTCAGAGGCCACGTACGCAAGTCGCAACTGTCCACGCTGCTGTAGCTCACGAGCAAGAAAGTAGCGAAGAGCAATGTGCTTCGTTCTGTGCTCCAGTCGCTGCTCTCGACACAAGGCCAGCATGGCCTTGTTGTCTACGTACAGGACTGGAGGAGAACGAGGCTGCTCCCCAAGGTCGGTCAGCAGGTAGGTGAGCCAGCGTAACTCCTGTGCAGCCATAGCCCCAGCGTAGATCTCAGCCTCACAACTGGAGCCGAGAACAGAAGACGAGCGGGTAGCCCGCCACGAGACAGAGCCGGAACCAAGGCTGAAGGTGTAACCCTGTGACGACCGCTGCGTAGCCTGGTCGTCAGCCCAAGAAGCGTCTGCGTGCCCAGTGAGGACCACTGGACTGCGCCCTCCAAGCACTAGCCCCATGCCCGACGTACTGCACAAGTAGCGCAACACCCTCTTCGCTGCAGCCATGTGCTCCGGTCTGTGTCTCCCAGGAGCAACAAAGCGTGCGAGAATGCTAAGAGGGTATGCGAGGTCAGGTCGTGTGCAGGTCATCAGGTACATGAGGCAGCCAACAAGCTCTGCAAACGGGCCACTCGACTCTACGGACTCATCCGAAGGCAGAGCTGAGAGCGAGTGGCGAGTAGGCAGAGGAGTGGCCTGAGGCGAGGAGTACGTGAAGCCGAAGCGCTGAAGGACCTGCTGCACCATGTGTGACTGAGTCAGGGTAATGGTGCGGCGTGCTCTGTCCCGGGTGATCTGCAAGCCAAGGTAGCTGCGCAGTTCACCCAGGTCAGTGCACGTGTGTCTCTTCTGCAGCTCGGACTTCACGTAGGCGAGTCCAGCAGTGTCAGCTGTGGCAAAGACCAAGTCGTCGACGTACACGAGGATGTAGAACGGCAGCAGAGAGGTGTCGGTGCGCAGAAACAGCGACGGGTCGGCAGTGGAAGGAGCAAACCCAAGTGCCGCGAGCGTAGTCCTCAGTGTGTCGTGCCACTCACGTGGCGCCTGGCGGAGACCGTAGACTGGACGCCGGAGACTCCACTGGGTACCAGGAGGGAAAGACCCAGTGAAGCCAGGTGGGCGACGCAGCCAGATCTCCTCGTGCAG